GGCACAAGTCAGTTTTTATGCTCGTCAAGTTGACAGTTTCCGCTGTTTGGGGCCCATGCGTACCATTATCAGCGAGGCTCGGTTCGGGAGGGCGGGGTTTTTTATACTGGGTGAGGCCGGCAGGCTGGGGTTGGCTCCGATAACGGTCGTTAAGGTCTGGATAAGGCGAGAATGAGTGTTTGCCAATGAACAGGACGAACAAATATGCTTCCTTCTCGACCGACCCTTCGCCCTCTTATAGACGTCCGTTTATCTTTGACCATTTCATTTAGGTTTCGGTGTTTATCGACCTAGCAATAACAAAAAAACAAAACAAAGGAACAAGAAGAAACGAGGCGTATAGTGAGGCTTCTCCCGCCCGCCAACCGCTTTCGCCCGGGTCCAACGCCACGTCCCCAGCCGGCCCCCTACTTCCCCCCCGCGCCCGGCATACAGGCCCAATCGTTTGGGTTGGGCGGCAATGGCCCCCCCGTAAGACCTCCCAGCCGTCGCGTCGTGGCCTCTCGGGCGGAAGAAGCAACGGGTCAGGATTGCGCCCGGTTTGGTGGAATCGCCACCGATCGGCACATGCACCCGCGACAGACGCCCTGCCACGCAAGCAACCATTCACGGCATTCGGGCGGCCACAGCTGCAAAGGGGTCGAAGGGCCGCATCGAGAGGCGCCTCATTCCAGAATGATCGACTTGTCCATCACCTGGAGGGGAATCTAGCCCGGGGCCTGCCATGCAAGGAGCAAGAGCCCTGCATTCTGTATTACCCTAACGCTACCAACTCATTGCAACCAAGGCGGGCTACCGAAAAGCAACCCAACCTCAACCGATCTCCCCCCTTGAAACCCGCTACACCCACCGCCTCGCCTCACGACCTGATGACGACGGTGCCCTCGGCGGGCTCCAGCAGGCGCCAGGTGCACGAGATGCCCAGGGCGGTGAACTTTGCAATGATGCGCTCCGCGATCTCGCCGTGGTTGGCCGTGGCGAGCGCGAGGATGGCGGGGCCCGCGCCCGAGAGGCACACGCCCAGCAGGCCCGGCTGCGTCGCGGGCGTCATGGACTCGACGATGTCGGTCAGGCCCGGGATGAGCGTCTGCCGGTACGGCTGGTGCAGCTTGTCCTGCATCGCCAGGTAGATCATGTCCGGGTCCGGCGGGGACTGGCCCAGCGCCACGGGCAGGAGCGCTATCCTCTGGAGGTTGAATGTCTGTTTGTGGGGGTGTCATGTTAGTGCGTATATCCTCAACAAAATATCCGTTTCGACCGTTCAGCGAGAAAACATACCACGTCTGATCGAGGGTACTGAGCCGGCAGCACCTCCCGCGCCAAGGCCGTCGGCACCTCAAAGTCGGGGATTATGGCCACGGCCTTGATCTCCTTGGCCCAGGGGAACTTGATGTGGTGGCCGATGCCGTGCGGCGGCTCCGGCGGCGCGTCGCCCGTGTCGACACCGCCGGCCGGGGCAGAGAGCACCTCGCTCAGCGGGATCTCCGTCCGTGCCACGTCCTCGGGCTTCAGCGGGTTCAGGTACGTCCCGACAAAGCCGCCAAACAGGGCAGCGCCCACGTTGTCGGGGTGCCTCTCTGTATATAGTTACACTCGGGTGAGCAAGGCTTGCCAGCGCAGGCTGGGGTAACCATCAAAGGAGGCGACGTGGAACAGCCAGCCAGCAAAAACACCTACCAATCATCAAGCAAAAGTCGAATAACCTATCGTCGTCCAGGTGGTGCAGCCCGCCGACCTCCTTGCCCAGCATGACGCCGGCGACCACGGCGGCGCCCGACGAGCCCAGGCCGCGGCCGAGCGGGATCGAGTTCTTGATGTGCACGTGGGTCTGGGCTGGGAAGGCGCGCTGGCCGTGGCACCGGAGCACGTACAGGGCCACGCGCGTGATGAGGTTGGCGTCCGGGTCCAGCGGGATGCCGTCCGAGTCGGCCCCCTCGCCCTCGTACGTCACCCGGCAGTTGAGCGGGTAGGCCGTGCCGGCCCCGGACCGGTCGACGGTGACGTGCAGCTCCAGGTACAGCGACAGCGCCAGCCCGATCACGTCGAACCCGGGACCGATGTTGGCCGACGAGCTGGGCGTCTTGATGACGAAGGATTCGGGTGCCATCTTGTCTTTTCCTCTTATTGAGGCCGGCTAGATGGATATGAAAGAAACAGCCAAATCCCGAGCCACAGTTGACGTTGTACCAGACCAGTTGTACCAGACTAGGCCAAGACAGCTTATCCACGGGGCGAATTGGATACAAACACGACCTCGAGGTGACCTTAGGGCGGCTTAGCGGTCCGTACCTATTTATGTTCCCCCCAGCTACGATTGAAGCAGAGCAGGCGTTCTCGCTACGGAGTCATACACCGCCGGACCTGCAAGGGCGAGCACACCCGCCCGTGAAAGTTTGTGGCTAAAATTTTAATTTGGGCGCTAGAGGCCACCGATCGCGGAGGGCCGGGGTGGGGCTGACTTGCTGGTGGTCGTCTTACCTGTGTGACTCCACGACCTGCCCATCGCGAACCTAGGATGGAAGTCAACGAAAAGTGATTGAAGTGATGAGATGGAAGCTCGATGCGACAAATGGAGTACCCAAACCGCAGTAACCGCCATAACCGCGCTCAAATCAAAATGCAGTGCCATCTGTTTGTTGCTCTCGTGAGGCAGCCGCTACTGGCGTTGTGTTGGTGACTTACCATCCAATGTTCTTGTGCGACGGTTTTGTTTGCCTTGCGGCGCCCGAGAAGCCGTAGAATATGATTCCACCGCCGAGGAGGAGCGGGTTCTTTCTGGACTCAGGCAAGCTCGCGGCATCCCGCTAATTCCCTCCCGGCCAGGAAATGAACAAACAAATGGCGGAACATCTGTTCCTGATCGCGTAAACAAAGGCCTCTTTTGTGCTGGTGGACGATATTCCCATCGGCGAGCACAACATCCACTTGATAACACCACACGAAAAGCTTTGCGACTCAACGCGTCCACATCGGCAAGCCAGCTTCGAACATGGCCGATACGCCTACATTCAGCCCAACGAGGGAGCCCGCCGCCGCCCGATTGCGCGAGCTTGAGGCGCTCCAGAAGGAGCTGCATGTAAGTCCTGGATGAACATCGCCGCCGAGACGCGAACGTTGGGCAAGCACAGACTGACCAACCCACGCACCGCGCCGCAGACTCGCATCGCCTTTTTCGTCGTCCTCTCGGCCCTCCCGCTGGCCAGCTTCAGCATGGTGGCGATGAGCCTGCTGAGCCTCAAGACGACCGCCGCCGGCGAGGCACGCAAGGGGGGCCTCGACAGGGACGGTAGCCCGACGCTCTGGCTCCTGTGCCTGGTCGTCACCACGACGTTGACCAGCGTAGCGGCGGCCGCCATGATGGAGAACCTCGTCAAGCCGCGTGCCCGGGACTGGTGGGGGATGTCCCTGCTGATGGCCGCCGTCTTCGTGTGCGCCATCCTCGTCCTCCCCGTGCACCTGGCCGTCAGCGCCTACTGGGGCGAAGCCCTCGGCCGCGCCTGCATCTTTTTCATGTCGGTGCTCTTTTGCCTGACGGCCATTAGGCTCGGCTCGAGGACCGCCAGAGAGACACAACAGCCTGCAGCGGACATGAACCTTGAGGAGAGATGAATGGCATGCCAGCCGGAGCCGGGAACAGTGTCACCAGTCGTCCAAGAGAAAGTGTGCGTCCTGGGCTTGGCGCAGGAAAAGGAGGGCGCAGGGGGCGCATGTTGGTAGGTAGGAAGCTGCCAGACCGCAGCAAGGGATAGTATTCGGGGTCCAGCAAGGGAGTGGGCGCGAAGGAACGGGTCAAACAGCGCTTGGTGGTGAAATTCTATCCTCTGACCTGGGAACCGGCCCGGGAGACGCTCGAGCAAAGGGTCCGCGCTGGCCCGCAACAACAATACAGAAACTGGAACTGGCTGTTGGCCGGCAACGCCGTTTTCACCGACAGTCTTGGCCGCAATAAACCAAGGTGCTGGGACCCGTCTCCAAAGAGGGTCGTCGGCCTGCGTCGCCGAGTGTGGATCAGTCCTTTGGATGCTTTTGCCGTTCCAGCGGACCGTGGGGACCATGGCAGTAGAGACGTCAATTGTGGCAAGTGGGTATCCCAGGTTGGAAACCCGGCTAGCCAAGCCCGTGCATGTGGCCATTTCAAAAGTACAGCCGAGGCCTGCAAGATGTGTGGCTGGGCATTCCAAGTTGCTATTTTTGCTAGCCAGTGAAGAGGCACATAGTCAGGCCTCCTGTCGCTCCAGCCTCGACAGATAATCCGAACTTTGCGTTTGTCCCCGTGATGATGTGCTTCCCTTCGCCCCATCTCCTGTCAACGAGGCGCTTGCGCGTTCTGGCTGATCGTCAGGACTGGAGAAACACGCAACACCAGGCTGACCAGCCGACAGGGTGGATGGTGCAAACAGCAAATGCAATCAATCTGCGGGTTTGCCTCCTGCCAACATGACCCGTGCGCGCCGCATGGCCTTCCCCGTCCAGCCCGGCTGCGGTTGAACCATCAATGTGGCTGCAGCGACCCGTTTGCGCGGCGTTAAGCGCCAAAGGTCGGGTCGGCTCCAGCTTCTCAGCTTCCAACCGGTTGGCGCCTGGCTAAGTTGGCGGCTGAGCTAGTCTCTGCGCTCGCTCCCCTCAGCTGGGCCATGTAAACACCACTCGCTACAATAGAATCCCCCACCCAGAAAAAAGACAATTAGATGGGAAGCAACCCAAATTTCCTCGCGGAGATGAACCCTCCCACGTGGTCGGCCCCGAAGCAAATCGGGCGGCACTGGGAAATGCCGATCGAGGGCTGGGGTCGCATCCAGCCTGCCTGTGTGGCCAAAAGGTGTGCCTAGCAGCCGCTGCTTGACGTTGTGCAAGGGCGGGTTCCCGCAGCAATAATGCGGGTGGTTCTGCCTTGTCGCGTCGCCTGCGACCAAGGTCCATTACAGGGGCGCTGTGGCCCGTGGGGTTGAGGGGCCACTCAACCCCATCGGCTGCCCCGCTCTTCAGGTCCAGGCATCCGCAGCCAATCAGCCGCCGGAGCGCACCAGGAAACGGCGTCGCGAGACGTCACGTTTTGGTCGCGCTTGGCTGCTGCAAGCGACTGCGCCCTCCCTCGACTTGAAACGCCAGCCTCCCCCCCTGCGGATCCTCGAATGAACGCCCGCGCAAAAAAAAAAGAAGATCCCTTCCCTGCTTCCACGATCCTTGTCTGTGCCCCATCGATGCTGTCGTCGCCTGCCTCGAAAGCCAAACTTTTGAAACTCCCGTTCCTCCATCCATCCTTTCCAGCACCACAACCGCTGTGAGCGCTGGCCGGTACCTTTTTTTTTTTCTCTCTGCCAGGCTTTGTTCGCCTCTTCGTCTGACCCTCAATCGGCGAACCCGCCCGGCCCTGAATAGGGGCTCAAACCTCCGCCTCGCCCCCGCTCTCCCTCGGATCGACCGTCCAATCCCGCCGAGTGCCTGCCTCGAGCATACCACCGCTCCGAACACAGATCACACCCAGCATTCTCGGGCTGTGGCGAGGTCCCAAACCCAGCGCGTGGCGGCATTCCAGTCTGTGGTCACAAGCTCTGCGAGCAAACTTACCCCTCGCCGACATCCCCGTCCAATCATAGCCAGTGATACCGCCGACGTGGACGTGCTCGGTTCGGGCGCATCGAGTTGCATCGCCGGCCGTCCGTCTTTTTTACCTTTTCATTCTCTGCAAACTCGCATAGACTGTCTCTGAGTCCCCCAAGGACAGCCGCCCACCATGTCCAGATATAACCGCTTAGGCAAGTCGACTTGGAGAGGCCCCTTATTTTCCCTCCGATGTCACTGCATGCCCATGTCGGCATTCACTCTCCCGGCTTGTGCCGCTCTGCTCCCCATGCGCTCCTAGCACCACCCCTTTCAACTCGCGACACACTCCCCCACTTTGCATTGTCAGGGTCTCCCGGCAGATTTCCCCCGCGTCCTATTCATTGTGGTGTCTCTTTGTCCTGCGCATAGTTCAAAGCAGGCTCCTGCCTGACAGGTGGAACTGATATCAGCACACATTCCATCGTCGCTGCCGCGTCCTGGGGCTTTGTTCACCTTGTTTGCTGGGGAAACCTGAAAATATCATTTAAAACTTGTGCCAACGCCATCACCATCGCCGTTCAGAGTATCTGCTCTGGTGATAATAAAAAAAAAACCCCTCCGGAAAAAAAAAACGCGACATTTCATTTCTAACACACCCTTGACGCGCAGAGGACGACTACTTCGATAACTCGCGCCCGATGAATAACCGGCCTCCTCCGCACCGGACGCCATCGCCGGGTAACCCGATGCAGCATGGCTACCAGCTGGACGATAACCCGTACGGAAGGCAGGGGAACGCTAGCAACCTCGACATCCCTATGGGACCGGGGAGATATACCCCAAGCGACCAGCTACAGCTTCACACGGCAGTAAGTTGCGCGATACCAAGGGGTGCCCGTGGGAACACTGAGCGAGTACTAACCCAAAATCAGCACTCCGTCGGCAACTTGAGCGAACCGTCGGGCTACAGCGGCCAACCGGGCGAGTACCGTGAAGGCTATTCGGTCAATCCCGAGCAGCACCATGATGCCTACTACAACCAGCCTTACCAGCCCACCCCGATGGAGGGAGGCGGCTTCGACAACGATGGGCGCCCCCTCCTGAACCAGCAGGACTCGTACGGGATAGACCAGCCGTACACAGACGACCCAAACGCGCCAAAGCAGCAGGGCGGGCTCAAGCGGTGGAAGACGGTCAAGAAGGTCCCGCTGTACCGTGGTAACCTGGTTCTTGACTGCCCGGTCCCGCCCAAGCTCCTGAACCAGCTGCCTCACACGGAGCGCGACGAATTCACGCACATGCGCTACACGGCGGCCACATGCGACCCCAACGACTTCTACGAGAGCAACTTTACACTCCGCCAGCAGCTGTTCAGCAAACCCCGTCAGACGGAACTTTTCATCGTGGTCACCATGTACAACGAAGACGAGGTCCTGTTCGCTAGAACCATGATCGGCGTGTTCAAGAATGTCGAGTACATGTGCCGGCGGCCAGAGAGCAAGACTTGGGGCAAGGAGGCTTGGAAGAAGATTGTGGTCTGCGTTGTGAGCGATGGTCGTGCCAAGATCAACCCGCGCACCAGGGCACTCCTGGCCGGTATGGGTGTTTACCAAGAGGGAATTGCGAGGCAAAAGGTCGACGACAAGGAGACCACGGCGCACATCTACGAGTACACCACTCAGGTGGGCATGGCTATCAAGAACGACGTTGTCAGCTTGATTCCCAAACAGCAACCCGTTCAGATCCTGTTCTGTCTGAAGGAGAAGAACCAGAAGAAGATCAACTCCCATCGTTGGTTCTTCTCCGCCTTTGGCCGCGTCCTGAATCCCAACATCTGCGTACTTCTCGACGCCGGTACGAAGCCTGGTGGAAACTCCATCTACCACCTCTGGAAGGCCTTTGACCTCGAGCCCATGTGCGCCGGTGCATGTGGTGAAATCAAGGCCATGTTGGGTACTGGTGGCAGGAACCTGCTCAACCCCCTGGTGGCGGCCCAGAACTTCGAGTACAAGATGAGCAACATTCTCGACAAGCCGCTGGAATCGGCATTCGGTTTCATTTCCGTCTTGCCCGGCGCCTTCTCGGCCTATCGCTATGTCGCGCTCCAGAACGATAAGAACGGCCAAGGCCCCCTGGAGAAGTATTTTGCCGGCGAGAAGCTCCACGGCGGTGATGCCGGCATCTTCACCGCCAACATGTACCTCGCCGAAGATCGTATTCTCTGCTTTGAGCTGGTGACGAAGCGCAACTGCTCCTGGATTCTGCAGTACGTCAAGTCGGCCACGGGCGAGACGGATGTGCCAGACACGGCGACGGAGCTTATCCTGCAGCGGCGCCGCTGGCTTAACGGCTCCTTTTTTGCGGCCATCTACGCCATCGCCCACTTTTACCAGTTCTTCCGCTCCGATCACTCCTTCTTCCGCAAAATGGCCTTCTTCGTCGAGTTCGCCTTCAACACCATCAACATGATCTTCGCCTGGTTTGCTATCGGCAACTTCTTCCTGGTCTTCAAGATCCTCGTCACTAGTTTGGGCGACCCTGCGATGCTGGGACAGGTCGGCGTTTATCTCGGTATTACGTTTGAGTGGCTCTACGGCATATCTCTAATCACCTGCTTCGTCCTGGCCATGGGCAACCGACCCGCCGGCTCCGGTCCATATTACGTGGCCATGGTCTGGTTCTGGGCCATCATCTACGTCTACCTCCTGTTTGCCGCCATCTTCATTGCCTACAAGACAATTTCGGCCAACATCGAGAAAGGACAGACGACGGCTGCGCAGCTTCTCAAGGACAAGGTGATCGTGACGCTCATCTTGTCCGTCATGTCGACATATGGCATCTGGCTCGTCGCCTCGCTTCTCATGTTCGACCCGTGGCACATGCTCACATCCCTGGGCCAGTACCTTCTCCTGTCGCCCACCTTCACCAACGTGCTCAACGTCTACGCCTTTTGCAACACTCACGATATCTCGTGGGGTACCAAGGGTGACGACAAGCCAGACAAGCTTCCCTCGGTCAGCACCAAGGACGGAGAAGGAAAGGCGGATCTGCCCGATGAGGGTGACCTGAACGCCATGTACGAGCGCGAGCTTCAAGCCTTCTCGACCAAGTTCGTCGAGGCCAAGAAGGACCCGACCCCGTCGCAGCTCGAGGAGAAGCAGCTGGACTACTACCGAGGTGTGCGCACGGTCGTCGTGCTGCTGTGGATGGTCATGAACTTTGCCCTGGCCGCCGTGGTGCTCTCCACGGCCGGCGTCGACCGCATCGCTCCGGCGGCGAATCCGCAGGAGGAAAAGGACCGGAAGGGCGAACGCGCGACCCTCTACATGGGTATCGTGCTCTACAGCGTCGCGGCTCTTTCGGGGTTCAAGTTCATTGGGGCGTGCTGGTTCCTGGTTGTGCGCATGTTCAGGGGCGTCTGATCGTTTCTTGTTCTGCCATTTGCATTGCGCCTGCGGCCCCAAGGCTCCATAGGCTCCTGCGCTTTCCTTGTTGGGTATAGAGCCCTGCCTATTACGCCTATTTCGATCGAGAGATCCATGACATGAGATGACTTGTATTTGTCCTTATACCTTTTTCCTTGGTCTTTGTCTTCTTGGGGTTGCTTTACGTTTGGGTTTTCGTCTTGTTTCCAATTTGCGGTCTGTCGGCTTGTTGGTTTAGTCTTGTTCCAGGGGCTTGATGTTCCTTGCTTTCTCTTCTGCATGGGGATTTTGTGGTTCGGCTGCGACCGGCAATTGTTTGAATACTTGGGCACGTCTGAGTTCCTGACTATCTCGAAGTTCTCGCATCATGATCCGATCTGTGTTGTTCTCTCTGTTGATGTCCCTTTTTATGCCTTGATTCCCGTTCTACTGTCCCGCGCTGCATCTCGTCAAGCTTTTCATGGCGTTCAATGAGGGAAAAGGAGTCAAGGACGCATAGACGAGTGTTGGATACATTAGTCAATAACTGATTCAGGGATAAGCAGAATGCCTACAAATCTCCCTATGCCAGCCACGGATGGATCTTCTATCGACGAACTGACGATTGCTCACCAGGCTACATTGACTCCTTGACAGTCCTGTCAATGTGCTTGTTTATTAAGTAGCGTTTGAAGTATGATGTGCGACAATCAGGAAAGAGATTCCTCCATGACAATCACCTAGCGAAGAAGGCAACTAAGACTAGATGCCTCGCCCTCGGTCCCAACCCTCACAAACAAAGCCAGTCTCCTCAACCCCCC